GACACCCCACTCAGCCAGGGGTTTGCGGGAAGGGGACAGACTGTGCCTGGGCTCACAAAATACCACTGATAAGTCACTCACCAGGGGCCCAAAAAAGCATCTTTAAGACCACCCTGGGGTGGGGGGGAATACAGCCTGCTGAAACCTCATCAGATCTTTTTACGTTTGAAAGCGTCATGCCAGGGGTGCTCACAGCAACCTATGGGGAGGGGATCATGGCCAGGAATGGGGGTGAGGAGGGGGAATGACATGTGCCCATTTTAAAGAAGGAAAAACTGAGAGTCCCAGTCACAGCAGAGTCAGGATCTTGAACCTGGATTTTTCCTGCCGGTGGTAATCTCAACATTTAACACCCCAGGAGCACACGCCAGGGGGTGCGGGCGGGGAGAGACAGTGGCCACATCACCTGCTGGCCAGGTGCCCTTGAGCTGGTGTTAGGGAACTTGGATTTCAAGGGCACCCCACCCTTCCCAGAACATACCAGGTGGGTGCTCTGTGCCCCAGTTGGCGTGTGCCCCATGCCTGCTCTTTCCCTGGGAATCTGGAATCAGGGTTCTGGGGGGAGGAGGAAGCTCCCAGGAAGCCCAAGCCCAAGCCAGCAGGCTGCAGGGGACAGAAGCGGCCCCGTGTGGCTTCCCCCCGGGGAAGGCAGGCGGGACCCCCTGCATGTTCTCTTCTCCCGGTTCCAACCGTCCCTTCCTGCTTCCACGTGGCCCTGTCCTGCTGTAATGAATCAGAGTCCTGTGAACGAGTTCTCCTAACCATTCCGTGGACCAGGCCTTCCCGTGGGGGCTGGACACCAACCTCGAGGACCCTCTCTCACTCTGGAAGGGCATCCTGGTGGGTGGACATTCCACTTGGATTATTTTGGAGGCAGGGGTTGGTTTGGAGCCATACTCAGTGCTGCTCAGGGATTACTCCTGGCTGTGCTCAGGGGGGAACCATATGGGATGCCGGGGATCGAACCCGAGTTGGCTTGTGCAAGGTAAGTGCCCTACCTGCTTTACTATTGCTCTGCCCTAGAAGTTCCACTTTGAAAACCTGCCAGGACTCGGGGTGCCTGAGTTTGCATTTTGCTCCTCCCTACCTTTGCCTTGATTTTTCTCGGAGTAAAAGCCCCTACTTTTACTCCAGAGTCGGGGTTCGCCCAGACCTCAGGTTCTGGAGCACCGGCTGAGTTCCACAGCCCTGCTCATCTGCAAGCACCACCACCACCCCCTATACACACACACACCCCCACCCCCCATACACACACTTCCCATAACCCCCAGGAAGCTGGTGGGATTGTTGCTGGGAGATTATTCTGTCTCATTCCTGTGCGTGAAAGTCTGTGACACTGCCACCCCAGCCAGCTCGGTGTGTTAGCCAGTGTCATTGTGATCATCGTTGTGAATGCGACTGCCTTTTATTTATTTTTTTAACTATGATGCCAGTGATCACAAAGAGCTACCATGGATAAACACTTAATGGTATGGGGGCCACCCCTGGTGCTGCTTAGGGCTTACTTCTGATTTTATTTTCTTTTTGGGTCACACCCGGTGATACACAGGGTTTACTCCTAGCTCTTCACTCAGGAATTACTCCTGGAGGTGCTCGGGGGACCATATGGGATGCTGGGAATCGAACCCGGGTCGACTGAGTGCAAGGCAAACGCCCTACCCGCTGTGCTATTATCGCTCCAGCCCCTTCTGATTTTTTGTGCTCACTTTTGGTGGTGCAGGGGGTGGGGGGAGGGGGGCTGTTGCAGGATTTCTGTCTGATCAGGGAAAAACCATGCACCCACAAAGTTTTGTTTTTATTTTTAATTAATACCTTTATTTATTTTGGGGTTTAGGCCCACACCTGGCAGTGCTCTGGGCTTACTCCTGGCTCTGCACTCAGGGAGCAATCCTGGCAGGCTCGGGGACCTTCTATATGGGATAGAAGAAGCAGGGTTTACTTGCAGCAGGCAGACCCAGTTACCTAGGCTGGAACTCTGACAAACTGGGCCCAGAACAAAGGGGGAAAAGCAGGGAATTGATGCTTTATTAGTCCACATGCTCAGTGGAATGTCTCCTTTGAAATACAAAGTTAAAGGCCTTTGGCAAGTAGGTAGGAGATAGTGAGAAGGACCCCATAAAGGAAAGGAATGTCTTGGGGAGTGCAGGAAGCAGGGTAGGGGCAGTGCAGGAGGGGGCCCCCCTGGTCCCTAACGGCATGTCTCCTGAGGGTGTCTCAGTCTGGACACCCCAGCCTGTGAATAGTCCTGACCCTGCCACATTACTGCCACGGGACTACATGTGTATGCATGTATGCATGGCAAGTGCTTTGCCTCTGTATTGTCTCTCCAGCCCTCCGCCCCCCCCCCCAAAAAAAAACACTTTAAATTTTCATTCAGATATGTTGAAATTAACACGACCTTGAGAACGATTTGGGGAGGTAACTGTGGATTTGGTGATGGTGGCACCACTGGACGCGTGTTTCTAAATCTCTCAGGTCCCGGTCGGGACAATGAGTGTCCCACAGGCAGGGAAAGACATGCGGGGTGTCCGTGTCAAAACAGCCACACATTTGAGGCAACCCCCCTCATTTGCCAGGGAGAGCAGGAGACCCCTTTGTAAAAATAAGCAGCAGCATTTTCTGCCAGGAAGCCCGAGGCCAGGCCCGCGTTTCTCAGCCCATCTCCCTTAATTAGGTGAGTATGGAAGGGCAGAGACTTCCTCCAGGAGTCGCTGGTTTATTCATTTAGGCCTGAGAGTGAGGAAAGGAATCTCATTGCAAATGTATGACTCTCCGGGAAAGGAACGTGCAGCGTGTTGATAGCGGGCCCCTGGGGAGTCTTGGGGGGTTCTCATCATCCCCCACTGCAGCTGCTGCCTTGGGGGTCTGTGGGGAGAGACTGGGACTTAACCTCTCTGTGGCTGTCACATTGAGCGCTCCCTGCAGGTGAGCAGGTGCTGGGAGCCCCTGGGCAAAGTGTGGATCCCAGTGCTTGGGGGCAGGCAGGTGGGCACAACTGAAGGCTGGGCTGATCCTGCCAAGGTGAGGGCAGGTGGGGGAGGGGAGGGGAAGGATTGGAGAGTGGGGAGTGGAGGGGGCAGGACCTATGCAGGTGACACACTGGAGGCCATCAGGGTGTCCAGAGAGCAGGCTTGGAACCCACATGTCCTCGCTCCAGGGGAGGGTGGACTTTTTCTCCAGAGATGGACAGGCCTGGCGTGGTCAGTAATGAGCCTGCTGTCGCTGGAGGTATGCAAGTAGATGCTTGATGAGCCTGGGCTAGGCACAGGTCCTGTGGGATTTGGGGAGTTAGAGGGCCCATCAGTTCATTTTCCAGGCTGGGGGGACCCAACTGTCCTCACGATTGCACCCTTTCATCTGCTGCTTGGCTCCTTCCTCCAACCTGTGGTCTCCTGCCCTTTGTTCTTCTTCTCCACAGGGGTAGCAGAGCTGGTGGGGGTAGGGTTCGCTTCTAAGCAAAACTCAGTGATACTCCAAAGGTGTGGACTCAGCCTTGTGGTGCTGTGGAGCCATGCAGTGCTGAACTCTGGGTACCTACCTGGAGGGGAAGGCATGTAACTGCATCCCCACTGAGCTATCTTGGCCCCTTCTTTAGGCACCCCACCCAGGCTGGCCTATGGAGAGTGGTAAGGTGAACACCAGGTGAAGACCTTGGAGAGTGAGGGTGAGGAGAGTGAGAGTGAGTGAGGAGAGTGAGTGAAGAGAGAATCGGTGAGGAGAGTGAGTGAGAGTCAGGAGAGTGAGGAGGGTGAAGAGAGTGAGGACAGAGTGAGGAGAGTCAGTGAAGAGAGAATCAGTGAGGAAGGAGAGTTTGTGAAAGTCAGGAGAGTGAGGAGAGAGTGAGGAGAGTGAGAGAAGAGAGAATCAGTGAGGAGAGTGACTGAGAGTCAGGAGAGTGAGGAGGGTGAAGAGAGTGAGGAGAGAGTGAGGAGAGTCAGTGAAGAGAGAATCAGTGAGGAAGGAGAGTGTGTGAAAGTCAGGAGAGTGAGGAGAGAGTGAGCAGAGTGAGAGAAGAGAGAATCAGTGAGGAGAGTGAGTGAGAGTCAGGAGAGTGAGGAGAGAGTGAGTAGTGAGAGTGAGGTGAGTGAGAGTGAGTGAGGAGAGTGAGACGGGAGTGAGAGGAGAGTCACATCCCTGGGTGTCTCAGCTGAGAGTTTGTGTGTTGGTGGAGGTACTCCCAAGTGGTGCTCAGGGACCCACAAGCCACTCCCAGAGATTCCCAGTCAGACTGTTGACTGTGAGGAACCAAGGAGATGGCCCAGCGTTGCCCTGCTGATGCTCAGGCGACCGTGGTTCTGGGGGATGAGGTCAGTTGGGCACAGCACCCAAGGCAGGTGCCTTTGCCCAACACTGTCTCCAATATCTCTGCTTAAAGTGTCTCTATAGAAGCCCCTGCGCTCCAGTACAGACACCCCACTGGGCCTCCCCACCAGGAAAGTTCTGCCACCCCCCTCCCACACACACACAACACACAACACACACACAGGAGCTCTGATATAACCAGCTTCCTCACCTGGGTGGGGGGCACCCTGTGACTGCGGGCTTCTTGATATGCAAATGGATCTGGGAAGGGACCGCAGGGGGTGTGAGCCCAGGGAGTGCAGCTGCTCTGAGGGGCTTTATTCTGTGAAATGCCCCCCTTGGTGAAGTGGGGAGGAGGGCAGCAGGTCCATCTGTCACGGCTGCAGGGGAGGGGGACACAGTGACATACAGCAGCCCCCTCCCCCCAATCAGCCTTCACCAGAGCTGACAGCAGAAGGAGCTGAGAGCAGATGGCGGCTGGAGCAGGAAGGGGCTCGGCAGAGGGAGTGTGACAAGACAGGAGCTCTGCGGGGTGGCTCTGGGATGGCCCTGGTACCTCTGGTCCTGGGAGAACAATGGAGATGGGAGGGTTGGGCCATAGAGACCAGCATCCTGCTCCAACTCCCGCCCTGCCCGTGCTCTCTCTCTCACCTGCTGTCCCCACTGAGAGTGTCTGAGGGTGCTCTCTCCCCTTGCAGCTCCTGTCATTGTCCTTCCTCCCCGGAGCATTCACAACGTCTCTGGGGCACAGGTGTCCCTGTCTTGTGAGGTGAGGGCGGTGCCTGCCCCAGTCATCACGTGGAGGAAGGTATGTATAGCCAGAAACCCGCGTGCGCACGCGCGCATGTGTGTGTGTGTGTGTGTGTGTGTGTGTGTGTGTGTGTGTGTGTTGGAGAGGGGGTGTAGTATATGAATTGTTTTGTTTTGCAGGGGGATGGGGCATGTTTGGGTCATACCCAGCTGTATTCGGCTTATTCCTGACTCTGTACTCAAGGTCACTTACGTAGGGTTCAGGGGACCATATAGGGTGCCGGGTATTGAATCCAGGTTGGCCACATCCAAGGCAAATACCTTACCTGCTGTACTGTTTCTCCAGCCCTACAGGTTTTTGGTTTGTTTGTTTGTTTTTTAAAGTGTCTGGGACTGGAGCAATAGCACAGCAGGTAGGACGTTTGCCTTGCAAGTGAACAACCTGGGTTCTATTCCCAGCATCCCATATGGTCCCCCGAGCACCGCCAGGAGTGATTCCTGAGTGCAAAGCCAGGAATAACCCCTGAGCATCGCCGGTATGACCCAAAAAGGGAAAAAAAAGTGTCTTTGTGTGAGTATTTTGATATGTAGACAAGAGGGTCTTTACAAGACACCTTATATGCCCTCCTTGGTCTGCGGGCTCATCCTCCAGAACATTTTTTACCGGCTGTCCAGAGAGAAGGGAGAGTGAGCGTTCATTCAGTGCTGTCTGCCCCCTTGGCCTGCCTCTTACTTATCCCCTCACCTCCACACCCCCATCCCCTGCCAAGTTCTACTGTTTTTCTAACCTAGGGCAGCAGCAGTGAAATGAGAGCCTGCTCAGGGGATCTGAGAACGACCTGGCTGTTGGCCGCTCACCTGATCCCCTTGCAAAATTAAATCTTTATGCAGCATGGCACAGATTTCCCCGGTGAATTTGCACCTCTTAGGGGCTGTGGTGTGGCACGTATTCCCAGCAGGGGCGCTGTGGACACACAATCCCATTCAGACTGCTCTTTCCCCAGAGGCCATTAAGAGTGCCCAGGCTTCTCACCTTTGAGCCAGGTGGAGAGTGAGAACACCAAGGATATCTGTAGGCTATTCTTCCTCCTCCGGAAACGCGTTTGCTAAGCCACTGCTGGTTTTCTGTGTACCCTAGGTCACCCACTCTCCTGAGGGCACCCTCGTGCTGGAGGACCTGCCTGGGGATCGGGTCAATGTGGCTGTCCAGGTGCGAGGGGGCCCCTCTGACCACGAGGCCACAGCCTGGATTGTGGTGAGTGTCTTACTGGCATATGAATGTTGGCGGTTACCAACTGGCCTGTTTATTTATTTATTTTATTTATTTTATAAAGTAGTTCACAGTATTTGATTACATTTAATACTCAAACACCAGTCCCACCACCATTCCACCTTCCCACCACCATATTTCGGATGTTTTCCATCCCAAACCCCAATCCCTGGCCCAAAGCAGAACCGAAATAATATGCTTTGTATTGTTTGTTATGAAAAACCCAGACTGGAGTGATAGCACAGCGGGTAGGGCGTTTGCCTTGCATGCAGCCAATATGGCCGACCCAAGTTTGATTCCTCTGCCCCTCTCTGAGAGCCCGGCAAGCTACCGAGATAATCTCACCTGCACAGCACAGCCTGGCAAGCTCCCCATGATGTATTCGATATGCCAAACACAGTAACAAGTGTCACAATGGAGATGTTACTGGGCCCGCTCGAGCAAATTGATGAACAACAGGAGGACCGTGACCGTGATATATATGAAAAAATGTGTATTTTCCTCTAAGATTGGTTGCCTCCTACTTTGAACCCTATCAAATGTAGTGCAGTAATATTGGAGTATGGGTAGGGTATATGGTTTGAAGTGTCCAGAAACAGGTTCACTTGTGGGTGATGCTCAGCCCAAGAGTGTGGAGAGCGGCCGTGGGCATGGCAGGGACTGAGCTCTGGAGGTTTTTCAGCTGCTGGGGCTGGATATCTTGGGGCGGGGAGAGGTCTCACCCTGCCACCCTCCGGGGCACCCCAAGTGAAACAGCCTGGTGCAGGGTCTGGTGGCATGATTGTGGCAAGTGTCATGTTATACTCCCTTCAGGGAGTGCAATCTCCCAACTGGCCTGTTTAATAAAGTGCCTTTAATTGATTTTTATTGATTTATTGCAAAATAATTGATTTTTCCGATGATACATTATTCTGTGATTAATCCATTTCTTGGGCCCTGGAAAACTTGAGCAGAGCAGGGAAAAAAGACATCCAGGGCCAAATCCCTGAAGAGATAGTACAGCGGGTAAGGCTCTAGCCTTGCATGTGACAGACCCATGTTCGATCCCCAACACCCCACTTGGTCCCTCAAGCACTACCAGGAATAACTCTTGAGTGCAGAGTCAGGAGTGAACCCTGAGCATCACCGGATGTGCCCCCCACTAAATAAAAAGAATCCTGGATGGAGTGGATAGCCTCTTCTCTCCTATCTGTATACTTCTAAAAGTCCCAGCAACCCCTTTCCACCCCCCACTCACATCTGCTGCCTTGCCAACTTTTTCTGACTCAGCCAGGAGACACCTCCTAAAGCAACAAAAAGCTGGATAAATTCTTAGACAAGGACTTACCAACCATGCAATCAGATATAACCATGTTCACATAAATTTATTTTCCAGATCTATTGATTTTAATATTGCAGCTTTGTTAATCACTTTTGATCCTAGAATTCTATCAACAGTGACTGTTTTTTTTTACCTTAAATAAATTTTTAAAAATCCCAGAATCCGGGGCCAGAGCAGGCAGAGCACGCAGCCGACCAGCGTTCGATCCCCAGCATCCCATATGGCCCCCCAAGCACCAAGCATGGCTAGGTATAATTCCTGAGTGCAGAGCCAGGGGCAACCCCTGAGTATCGCTGGGTGTGAGCCAAAAAGCAAAATAAAATAAAATAAAAATCCTGAGACCCTGTGGGTATGAATTTTAGGGGTTTAAAAGGGGATCAAACAACCACAACCATTGCTAATCTGCGGGCTTTGATTAGGACATTCCCTTGGGCTGTTTGGTGTAGCCACTAACATCACAGGAGTCCTGTAAATGAGGTAGAGAGAGGCAGAAGAGAGTTGTAGAGTGAGAGAGATGCCCTTGATGGCTTAGAAGATGAGAGGAATCCAAGCTGAGGGACATCAGCAGCCTCCCAGTGACCAAGGCAAGGCATGGAGGTTCCACTACATCTCGCAGGAAAAAGAAATAAAATCCTGCTGACCCCCTTCAGTAGCCCACTGAGACCTGGACATCTGACGTGAAAACTGAAGATAATAATGTTGCACTGTGTTAAGCCACTACATTGAGGACAGTTGGTTACAGCAGCCACAGGAAATTAATCCTCCTGCCTTACAGCCCAGGGTGGTGAAGGCCAAGGGCGCATCCCTCTCCCTCTCTCCCCCACTCCCATGCCTTCTGGCTCAGTGCTCAGGGATCAAGCCTGGCAGAAGTGCGTGGGGGACCTTAGATGGTGCCAGGGATCAAATCCTGGTATGCCCTTAGCTGCAAGTGCACTGCTAGGCAAGTATTGTCAGCATCAGAGAAGGAAATTTAGCTTGCTTGGTAGCTGGAGCAAGAGGAAAACGACCTGGGCTGGAGCAATAGCACAGCGGGTAGGGCGTTTGCCTTGCACATGGCCAACCCCGATTCGATTCCCAGCACCTCATATGGTCCCCTGAGCACCACCAGGAGTAATTCCTGAGTGCAGAGCCAGGAGTAACCCCTGTGCATCACCGGGTGTGACCCAAAAAGTGGGGGGGAAAAAGAGAGAAAGACAGTTCTGTCTGGCCTGGAAGCAGAGATGAGACTGATGAAGGACTGACTCTGCAAGTGATCTCACCGTCTCTGACTCGATGTGTGACTGTGGCAGAGAACCCTACAGAGCCGCCTGTTTTTTTTTTCCAGATCAACCCTCTGCAAAAGGAGGATGAGGGCGTGTACCAGTGTCATTCTGCCAACGTGGCCGGAGAGGCCCAGGCTCATGGCACGGTGACAGTCTCGGCTCTCGGTGGATTTGGTGCACCCCGCTTCCCAGCCCCCGAGGGCCACATGTGACTGTGTTGGCATCCTGTCCGTAAGTACAGCCCCTTGTCCCAGAGAGATGGTCCAGGGGTGAAGGCGCCGGCCTTGCATGCAGCTGACAGAGGTTTGATCCCTGCACTTTGGGAAGTGACCCCTCCCCAACCCCGCCACCAAGCACCCCCCACCCCGCACATGTCCTAATGTAATAAAAAAAGAAAAAGGAAAAAGACACACATTGAGAAGAGCAGAGGAGACCAGAGCAGGAACACATAGGATCTCTTCTGGCATGTTCTCCGTCCATATCATGTGGGTCTCAACACTCGGCACCTCCAGCCAAGAGTTGAATTCTCAGGGCTGGGTCTGAAAGTCCCATACTTGGTTCCTGTGAGGCAACTCGGGAGACCACCAGCCCCCCTCCCACTGCACCCTGGCTACATCCCGGGGAATGGCAGCCGGCTGGGCTGTGCTCTCCCCAACTCTTTTTCCGTTTTTTTTAGAAAGAGAGTTTACCTTTGCAGGACCGTTGGGCACTCCGCAGCTCTTAGGCAGGGCTGATGGTGGCCGCGCCCTCCCCCGGCTGGCCAATACCCTCTAACCAGTGGGCAGTGGGGGCCCGACAACCCCCCTGCACATCACAGTGGGTGGACAGTGCCTGGTGTCCCCCCAACCCGGGCTGCCACAGTAGGGTGCGGGGGCCCCATTCCACGCAAGAATCCAAAAAGGATTCCTTTCCTTTGTCACAAAGAAGGGAGGAGATATTGAGTGTCTGGGAAAAACACAAGTTGATTCCCGAATTGAGTGGATTATTCTCTTGGCTACTACCAGTGGGTAGCTAAGTGTGTTGTCCCTGTGTCATGGCTCTCGGGGTACCCCGGACACCCCCAAAAGCAGCTATCCTTGTACTCCGAGGAGCGGGAAGTTAGGAGGTCTATGGGGCAGGCATGAAAGAAGAGATGCGGCTTAGAAGGAAGCGGAATAAATGGAGGTGCCACTGCAGAAGGGGGCCTGGCAGTGCAGGATGGGGGACAAGTGGAGAACAGAGTCCTATGCTTGAAAGGAAAAGGTTCACTGTGACATGTCCAACAGGAAGTGAGCGTTAGGAGGGGCTCACCTGGTATGTGGAGGATCCTGGATTCAGTCCCAGCCGCACAGGGTCCCTGGAGCACTGCTGGGGCGACCCGGTGCTCCCCAGTACTGCCAGGTCTGAGCAGCCCCGTCCTCTGGGCTGAGCATTGAACCATCACGCCTGTATTGCTGGGGTGAACTTCTGTGGGAGTGGCCCCCAGGCCCTCCATGCAGTCTGTGGCTGGCCCCCGCCAAGAATGCTGCCTTCCTGAATCTCAACTTTGTGTTTTCTATGTGTATTTATTGCTTGATTTATTTTGATCTGGGGGCCACACCTGGCGGTACCCGAGGCTTGCTCCTGACTCTGTGGAGCTCCCCTGATGTAGCTTGGAGGATTGTACGGGGGTGTCAGGGAATCTAACCGAGGCTGGCTACATGCAAGGGAAATGCCGGACCCCTGTACCATCTCTCGGGCCCCCACACATATGTATTATTAAACATATTAAACGAAGATACAGTAAGTTCCCAGTTATAAACAGTGATAAGCCATAGACATTTTTAGTACAGAGAGTCAACTTTCAGAGTCTACCAGACTTGGCTACCAGATAAGAAGTCACCCCATATTGTCTCAAAAAGCTATCAACATTGCGTTAAAGCCTAACAAATATGGGCAAAGGAGAGGATATTAAGAGGAAATGTTCTTGGGGTTAGGGTCCTGGTTCAAAGGGTGAGAGCACATGCAGGACGCTCGGCTTTGATCCCTAATGCCAGTGTGAGTCAGGGGAAAAAGAAAAATGATTTGGTAGAAAGTTAAGCTTTGGGGCTGGAGCGATAGCACAGTGGGTAGGGCATTTGCTTTGTAAAAACATAAAAACATACATGCAATGCCAAGTCAGGGATCAAGACTTATCTGGGGTACAAGGAGTCCATTCGAGATGGATTTTTCAAAAGGAAACCACCAAGAACCAGGGCATCTGGAGGGAGATAGGGGGATGGTTGGGCAATTTCACCCATTGGTGCTCAGGGATCACTCCTGGCAGTGCTCGGGAGGCTGGATGCTATGCTGGGATCAAAACAAAAACAGGGCTGAACATGGGGCTGGATAGATAGTAGGGTGGGTCGGGTCCTTGCCTTGCATGCGGCCGATTGGGTTCGATTCCAGGCATCCCATAGGGTCCCCTGAGCACCGCTAGGAGTGATTTCTGAGTGTAGGACTCAAGAGTAAGCCCTCAAGAGCATCACCAGTGTGGTGCCCAAACAAAAACCAGGGTCAGCCATGTACCAGGCGAGTGCCTTCATCCCTGTACCATCTCCCCAGCCCCAGAACCAGGCATCTGCAGCCACTACCACTGCCTTGTCCTCAAGGGCCCCTACAACGGGCAGTGCTGCTCAGCCCTTGCTTGCTTGCCTCTGGGGCTGTGAAGCTCATTCCCTCCAGTTGAGCCCACCTTTGGGATCGCTAATAGTGGGAGCTTTTTCCTCTTGGGCCCTGGCCTCTGTCAGCTCCCCGGGCCACTCCCGGTGCCACCAGCCTCTCTCCTTGCAAAAGGGGAGACTCAACGTTAGGGGCCCTCCCCACCCTGTGGTGGAAGGCCATCGCCTTCCACCTTCCCTAATCTTCCCCCTCTTTCCTTTCTAGGGTCTCAGAGGAGCTCATGGGAGAACAAGAACATCAAGCTATGGATTTTCTTTTTCAAATTAGTGATGAATTGGAGACACTTTGTAGAATGGCCTCTTTTGTATTTTTTTTTATTATTTTTAACAAAAATTTTTTGAACAGCTGAACTGGAATTGTGTTTGACTTTTTTAGTGGGCTTGGTCCTGGGAACTGAGTGTGCGGATGTGCATGGGGCTTTTGCACCCTCCCAAAAGAATGTGGCCAGAGGTGTTTCCTTCTCAGACTTGGCCTGCCAAGGAAGTTCCCTTTCTGGCATGTTGTCACTCTCCAGCACCAGCCCGCACATGCGCTGTTCTCTCTGCCTCTGATTTTCTGGGAGGGGAGGGGATTCTGGTGACCGTGGGAGGCGGCAGCAGCCCTTACATGCTGTGTGACCAGCCTGAGACCCTTCACCTGGGAAGGTGATAGTTGGTCAAGATGCAGCCACACACCCTTCTGGCTCCCTGCCCTCCCACCGCAGGGTCTTCCAGAATAAGGCATTTTGTTTTGTTTTGTTTTGTTTTGTTTGGGGACTATACCTGGCAGTGCTCAGAGGTTACTCCTGGCTTTGTGCTCAGGGATCATTCCTGGAAGTGCTCAGGGACCATATGGGATGCTGGGGATAGAACCCCAGTTGACCCTGTACAAAGCGAATGCCCTATCTGCTACACTATCGCTCTGGCCCTGATGACCTTCTAAAACAAACGTGATTCAGCACCCTTTGTAGGGCTGGGGGCTGGTATCCTCCATTGTGCCCTGGTCTCATCTGGACTCTGCTCTTCCCACTCTTTCCCCTTTTATCAAAGAGTTTTTGTCTTCAGGGCCAGAGAGATAGTACAGTGGGTAGGGCACTTGCCTTGCAATGCAGCTGACCTGGGTTAAATCCCTAGTACCCCATATGGTCCCCTGAACACCACCAGGAGTGGGCCCTGAGCACAGAGTCAGGAGTAAGGCTTTAGCACAGCTGGGTGTAGCCTGGAGAGAGAGGAGAGAGAGAGAGAGAGAGAGAGAGAGAGAGAGAGAGAGAGAGAGAGAGAGAGAGAGAGACTTTGTCTTCCCTGGGACCCTCCGCAGTTGCTTCTGGGCTTCTGAGCAGTCCAGGTAGGGGCCGTGCCATTCACCAGCTGACCAGTCTCTCCAGCCAGAGGGGCAGGCTGACAGCACTTGCACTCCCTGGGCTGTGGAAGTGGGTGCGGGACCCCCATTCCACAGAGGTGTCTTGGCTCTTGTCCCAGAACAAGGATTTCTTCCTTTTTCATGAAGAAACAAGGAGATATTGACTCTTTGGGATAAACACATTAATTTAAGGAAGAGAACCCCCTAAATTTCAGCACTCGAGAGGGCCAGTGGCCACTTCCTGTGAGACTTGACCTTCCTGTGCAGGCCGGAGGGCTCAGCACTCAGGCAGAGTTTGGTGCTGGCTGGGCCCATTGCTGGTTGCAGACCCCCTGGGCACCCAGGCTGTTTAGAGGGCCTCCAGGGCTACAGCTGGCAGTGCTGGGGGGGGGGCACAAGATAGTCCCTCAGGGTTTGTGCTCCAGCCCTTGAAGCCGTCTGGCTCCCAGCCCATCATTAGACATTTTGGAAGTCAGAATTGGGACCACTGTTAGCTGTTAGTGCTCAATCGAGTGATGGGTCAGGGGAGCAGAAATAAGCAAGGTGTGTGAATGTTAAAGCATGGAGGGCTAAAGCTCACTCAGGCCGTTTAGCACTGATTGGCTTTTACAGCCCGCTTTTATTGGGTTAACGATCAAAACATCCAGCATGCCTTGAAGTACATAAGACCAAAATACATAAGATCAAAACGCCTTGAAGTACATATTATTTTGTAGCCTAATGATACACAAAGTTCCCGATGAAGTGAATCAGACCACCCTGCAAATCTTTACATCCCACTTCCCATATATTCCACATCAGAACCTATGCAAGCCTACACAATAACCCAATCAGGTATTTGTTTAACTTTCATCCAATCTAGAACAGAAAGCGGCTGCATTGGGACATGCTGACCCCAACCCTGTTCACTCAGAGTTCCTAGCTGTCTGCAGCTTTGACATGACCTTGTTTGCAAGTCAGCGTTCCCAGAACTTTCTCATGACTCTGGTCAGGCTCCAACAGACTGCATGGACAAACAGACGTTGGGGGTCATGGAAGGTCCTATGAGATCGCTTTGGGGCAGCCGCGGAGGGCCGAGTGCACACGTCCACCGTCTTTTAGATGACGAAGAGGTGGGAGAAGGAGGCCCTGCCCCCTGTCTGTGGGCTCGCAGGAAGGACTCGCCCAGCTCTCAACCCTCCCACTCTCCCCACCT